TGAAATAACTGGCTGTTTATGGTATGATGGATAAGATTATGTGTTACCAAGAGGTCATTAGAACCACAGTTCAATCCCACTCCTTCCACAAGCCTACAGCATCCTTCATTACTAATCATATGCCATGGACTGCCAAACAGCCTATATGGAAACAACGGTGCCAACAGCAGCTTTACACCTCTAATCCCTTCTTTCCTCACAATATCTGCTCCCAACTGGATAATGCTCTGCTGACAGCCTGCTTGCTCCAACAGCATGACAGGACCAGCGCCCTGAAACCATGCAGCCCCCCAGAGCTTTAGGGAAACTTCTCAGCCTTTCACATCATTTTATGGAAACAAAATTAAAAACACAAGGTTTCTCTATGTTACATTTTTACAGCTAGAAATCGATCATCAAATGCAGGGTCGCTGTGTTATCAGGCTATTTCCAGAAAATAAAAACTAACAAAGCACTTAACTCTACAGCGACGGTTTTCAGTGAATACAAATCTGTTTAGGGATTTCATTTCACGTTACAGAGAGCAGCACGGACGCTCAGAAGCACCTTCCGATCGACGCAAGGCAGGATGCCGGGCACGGGGCAAGAGGCAGAGAGGAGAGACCATCCTGCCCACTATCCCGGTGACAACTCGGTCCGTTCTGTCCGCCTAAGGCCACTCCACCCCCATCAGGACCCTTAAACAACAACCTTTACCCCGAGCACCGCTGCTGGGAAGGCTGCAGCCCTCAGCTCCTTCGGGCAAACTTCGCGCGCGGACAGGAGATAGAGATGGAGCAGCCGCTGCCCCTCAGCCGCCCAACCGCAGAGCGGGGAGAACTTTCTCCTCGCCCTGAGCCCTCCACCCCTCCCGGTCCGGCCTTACCTTAGCGGCTCTGGAGGAATGGCACTGCACCTGGTGGTGGGACACCGTCGCCGTCTGGTTCATGGTGCCGGGCTGCCGCTCCGCGTCCCGAGGCTGTTCCGGGCTGAGTCGGGTTGGGATCGCCGCGAGCCGCCGCTAGCCGCCGCCTCGCCCTGGCGGAGCGTGCAGCTGCTGGCAGAGCTCAGCCCTCCGTTCTGCTGCCCGGAGTCGGCTCGCGGCCAAAAGTTCCTTCACGGCGCTCCCTCCGGTGCCGCCGCTCCCCTCGGGCTGACTGCAGCTCCCGGCAGCGGCACGCGAGCGTCAGCGCGCAGAGAGGCGCGAGCAGCGGCGTGACTGCCATCGCCGGCGCACATGGGATTCCAGCAGCCTCCGGGCTTTGGGAGGCACTGCAGCGGTTCCACGCTCTCCCCCCCTCCGCAATCATTGCAGCTCCGGCTGTGCTTCTGCCCGACTAACTTTTTGTGGGGTTGGTTGGGGTGCAGATTGGAAGCTTTCCCCGGCAGCCACCAAATGCTCCTCCACAGGTGCAGCCCCGAGCTGCAATCACAGCCAGAGGACCGTGATACGGCACACAGCATCCCCTGCAAGGAGGCAGAAACAAAATCACAACAGAGAAGATTTGCTTGACGTTTTCGGTTGTGCTTTGGGCAGCTCAATGAGCACCTGTGTAGGCATTTGTCCCAGCTAAGCATCTGCCCAGAGCTGTGGGTATCACACGTGGAATTCTGTCCCTGCAAGGGCAGAGAGATGGGCAAGCTGGGAGCTTGCTGCTGCCAGGGGTACAAAAGCCCCAAACGGCTGTGAGGCCTCTGAGCCACACCTGTAGCCCTCATCTGACTCCAGCTGTCAGCCTGAGCTCCTTCAAGTGGGGCTTACTGTCAGAAGATTGGATTTTCTCAGAAGGAAAACTCCTTACAACCATCTCAGATTTAATCTCTCCAAAGTAAAGCTTCATTTTGCACGCTGCAATTTAGACTCAAAGTCATCTCCAATGGAAGCCAACCATGGAGGGAAGGAGTCCCCACGTGCCCAGCTCCTGGGGCAGACACGGTCACCTCCAGGCACTGCACTGGGCCTGGCTGCCTGCCCACACACCCCATTTGCATTAACCTCCTTCACCTTATCGGATTTATTGGATTTTGAGCAATAAAAAACACATTTAGCAAGCACAGCGGGCTGAGCAGTGCTTTCTTTCCCCTCTTTCATACACAGACAGGAGTAAAGCTTTAATGGGTATGGTCTAGAGGGAGGTATCCCTGCACATAGCAGGGAGTTGGAACCAGGTGATCTTAAATGTCCTTTTCAATCCAAACCATTCTATGATGGTTCAGAAGACTGAGCTCACACCTCATTCAGTTGGAACTATGGATGTTTCTAAGCTCCTGTGGAAACTCTGTGTGAAGTTTTCTTGCTTGATTTTATGCTTCCCAGTGGCTGAGTTACATGAGCCACAAGAGCAATTTTAAGCCAACACAGAAATATTTTCCTTGCTAAGATAACAAAATAAGCAGTGTGGGTAAAAAGCTGCCAATGGGAGAGAAATGAGATCAATAATTTTCTGGCATTGTTTTTAAATGAACTTCTACACATTCTAATTTACCTATTCCTAGAGAGGACAGGTGCTGCTGATTAACCTCCTGCTCCAACCAGGTGCAATCTAATGGTAGCATGAACTTACCCCGGGGCTCAGGAGTTGTAACAACTCAATCAACACACCGTTCATCATTGCAAGCTATCTTAGGAGCACCTTGGATCAGTAGGGTGGGCTTCCATGAGATGCCAGCTGTCATCCTCCAGTGCTGCCATTCCCCTCCACCCCTTGGCTGCTGCTAATCCTCCTCTGTGAGTAATCCTCTTTGGGATCAGAGCTGCGTAGTGCCGCTCATACTGGCTGTTAGCTGCCAATGCAAGTCTCCACATTAGCCCTGCAAAGAGCTTTTTAAAGATTTCAGCACCTCTAGGGCACAGTTAAATGACTGAGTGATTACTGGAATATGCTGGAGATTATTAAATCTGTGGGTACATACCTCTCATACAGACTGCAATGGAGCTGGTGGTACCTGCTGTGTTGGAGCTGCACCTCAGCACTTGGGATGGACTTCCTTCCTGAAACGTTTTAAAAAAGAGTAAAGAAACCAGCACTGTCAGCCAGGAAAATTAAGGAAACTCTCCAGAAAGTTTAAATTAAGAAAAATCCCCATTCCTGCCAGGACACCCTGCCTGCCCCAGGGTCCTGCCATGGGACATGGTGTTCTCCAGGGCCCTGATTGCTATCCCAGCCCTGTGGGCTGCTGCGAGGACTCCTCCGACAGTTCCCTGGCCATGTGCTCCCCTACCTCCTGTTTGCTGAACCCTATTTTCTTTCAGAAATACCCCAAGCACTTTCTTCAATTTTTGAGCTCCATGTTCCAAATTACAGTGTATGATTGCTGTTCTCAGAAATAAATAAATCAGATTCAATATTGGTAATTAGGCATACTTTATCACAACATAGCTCCCATAGCTCTTTGCTTTCTTTTCCACACAAGTCCATCAAATCCCCTTTTACTACTGTTCCACACTTCTGTTCCTGTGGTCATAGGCATTGGCAGCAATTGTCAGGAGCAAATTCATCTCCTAACTCCACAGTGCTCATGATCAGATTGCAGACTTTTCCGTTCATACACCACAGTATGTTAATGTCAGCAGGGATGCTGGCACTGGAACACTGTATTACTTCAAGGTGCTGTCCTTGTCACTGTACAAGCTTCCATTCCTTTTATCATGCCCAAACTCCATCTCAGTTTACCATCATTGAGTTCTGAGGGGTTATGAGCATCATTCATTGCTATTTTGAACAAGGAGGATTAACACTGTTGCTAAGCTGTTGCTTAAAACATCCAGTTCAATACATGGATCCGATGAAGGAACCAGGTCGTCTCAGTAGATGTTCCTGGTTTGTACAAGCCAACATTCATAGAAATGTATGGGCAGATCTGTTAGATTTGCTTTCTGCTCTTATGCACTATGTTTGCTTTAAGAGAATTCAGTTAGATGAAATATTTGTGTCTCTTTGTAGAAACAGAAGATAGACTCAAATGCTCTGTACCTGCACACTGATTCCATCAATTAGTTTTCTGTTCCACTTCAGGTGCATAGTGTAAAATTACAGCCAAAACATTAAAGAGTCCTCCCTATTACAACGATAACAAGTTGTTTCAACTAGATTTTGCCTGCAAGCATGGGCTGTCCTGAAAACAGGCTCATCAAATCTCTGTATCTCTGAACTGTATGGAATGAAATTCAGCAAAGAATCAATCTTCTTTGATCTCATATGACGTCTGTAGCAGACCCCAGGAGGAGTAGGTTCCAACTTACTGTTTCAGTAAAGAGTTTTCTCATTCATTTAGCCTTGTATCTGCAGGAGCTACTGCATTATAAAAAGGTGAGCTGACGGATTTGAGAAGCAGATCTAATTTCGTGCATAACTATTACTCACACCGCTAATAGGATTCAATATTTCTACCACCAAAGAGCTCTGGTCTGAGTAATGTTTCTGCACACCTGTAGATTTGCACGAATGCAGCTCACTATCTCCCTGCCCGCAAGCACTGCAATGTTCCCATGTTTATTGCACAGCACTCAGAAGATATCACAAAACACTGGAGACATGCCAGAAGTTGTGTTAAGTGCCTTTCTGTACCAGTTTATGCTTCTTTAAGCATTAAAATCGTGCTTGCTGTGGAAAACACTGAACGTCATGCAGAACACTTAGTATTGTTCACTTAGTATATGTTCACTGCATGAACAGTGTGCATGACAGTTCTGTCCATTGCTGGTCCTCTGGGAGTGTTTGTGTTCACTGCAGGTGGGTCTGCATCCAAAATCCACAGTCCAGTGGGGTTTTAGTAGGGGTTCCAGACTGGAACACCTACTAAAATGAAATGTTAAGCAAGACAAAGAGTAGTGGTGTAAGTAGGATCCTCTCCCTTATCTTCAATGTATGGAAGGGTCAACCAAGAGGCAACCACAATCCCTATCTGTAGCTAAACCCTCTGATACATCATACAAATTCCTACCCTCAGACCATGTTTGGTCTTTGAAGTCTGTACATACCTTATAAATAGCCCTGCAAAACTGTCAAGGCATCGCCAAGCATATTACGACACAACTTGTTCTGATCCAGCATTAGTTCCCCTCAACATGGAGATTTTCCTCACAATCCCTACTGCACCTCAGCTGAAAGATTCCACAAAATTAATCCTGAGACATTGTGTTGGGCTGAGAAATTTTACCCCAAGCTGTTTGTATGTGGAAGAAGCATCCTATCATCAGCTGGCAATAAATCTGGAATGAAAAAAAAAAAAATGAAAGAAAGATTGAATATTTAAAGTGTTTGAAGTTTTAATTAATAATTTGTAACTATGGAGACTGAAGTGGAGAAAGAGGTTTTTTTGCATTAGAACACCCAGAGGCTGCAGGAAAGAGTGATGCTTTCCAGATTAAACAAAAACAGAAGAGTTTAATGACAACAGCAAAATCAGGAATAATACTGAAACCATAATTATTCAAAATACCATACTTCAGTGCTACTAAAAAACAGCAACACTCCCCCTTCCTTCTTTCAAATGTAAAGCTAGTAACACAGAAAGTGATGGATTTTCTATAGATGAAAGATAATCTACAGTCAATTAAGCATTTTCCCTAAAACACTGCATAGGAAAGAAACAACAAGAAATGGTTACCATCAGAAATTAAAAGACGCTTTCTCTACCCAACTGAAAATCTCTTTCTCCTACAAGACACGTGTTTCTGTCTCTGCACTTTAAAGATGCTTTCACAAGAATCTGAGGATGCTATAGAAACCCCCCAACTCATTACCTCATGTATGAAATAGCTGATGAGTGATTAATCTTCTAGGCTATTCTTTCCTCAGAATATTTATGTTTTGGTTGGGCATAGCTTGTATAGGTGTTTCTTTGTCACAGCTGAAGCCATCATTTTAATTAAAATGAATGAAATATAGGTAGGACAGCAGAAACCCTGCTGGAGGGCCTCTGGTCTGATAGCCTGTTTCCACTTCAACTACCCACCTCCAGGACAAGGGAGAGATACCTGACAACAGCAGCAGCCTCAAGCAAGTGGCCAGCAGGTGTTTTGGCAGTGTTATAGCTTAGAGTGTATCTACTTAGCAAACAAAGGATTCTGCACAATCTCTAGCATCTGTAATTGTTGCTTCAGCAAAGGAAAATGTACAGTGGCACAGGGAAAGAGAAAAATCTTACAGAATGGCCTTACTGAAGTAGAGAGAAGACAGATTATTGGAATTTGAAGGCAGAGCTCGGTCACAGCACACTAATTAGAGAGGCAATAAACTTCACATTTTAGATACAATCCTTGTCATGGGATGACGAAGATGACTGTGGAGACGGAGTCCAGGACTTGGTTTCTTTTACTTCTGATGCTTGCAGGCACAAACGGAGCACGCTTTTCAAAGAGAGCCTTTTTCTTCTGTGTGCATAACATTCCATCAGATGTGTAATGTCTTTTCAGTAAGGAAACATTTATATTCCTTCTCTCTCTTTTCAATAACAAGTCTGTCAGTCACAAGCCTCCATTGCTCAGCGACTACTGCCACACTGTAGCTGACAGGCTGTGGAAGTTTTGGCTGCCCCAAATCACTATGAACATTTTCTTTTTTTCTTTTTTCTGTTAGAATTATGGGGCATTTCTATCTCACTGCTGTGTAGCAATGTACTTTCACACATATATAACACTGAGTTTTAGCAACATCAAATACTGCATCCAACCAGTTACAAAAAACTACCTTGTCAATGAGACACAGCACTGCTGCCAGCTGCTTATTCAAATTTCATTTAAACATGCACAGAAATAATTTCTTTATACTTTGGCATGTCTTTTTTGTATTCCAGTTACAAAAAGCAATATGGGGCATCCCCTCTTTACAATGAACCATGGTATCTTTCAGTGGAAATTACTTGGTGTCACAACAGTTAAACTACCCAGGAAACAGAACACAAGATTGGAATGGTTTCTTCTCTCCCTTGGGCTTTAGAAAATCCCAGAGAGGTACTAAAGCCTGTGGGACTCAGAGGACTGGGAGGAATTTGTCAAAGAGCACAAGCAATTTGTCAAAGATAACAAGTCATACATGTGCTTATATATCCTTCAGCAATTCTTCAACTTTCTAATAAACAACGCCAGCAACTGCATCATTCTACCTTCTACTAGGTGGAATGGTAACATTTATGCTTATTGTGGTGCTGGAGGCCTCTAATGACAGCCCGAATACCTGTAGGCAAGTGCTGTGCACTGCATTCACTTATAACTTCTAAGACAAATGCAACACGGCCATCCTGCGTGCACCATAAAATACAGCATCCCTAAACACATAATCTAGCCATTATTTTTATTTCAGTATATTTTCCATACCACTCTGAAAATATGTTTTTATTACAGAGCATGATTTGTTAAAAGCTATTCCGGCTGCTGAAAGAAAAAGAGCAGAGAAATCAGAGCTGGCTTAACCAGGTTTATACACCTGCTGTTTCAGCCTCAAAGATAAATTACATTGCAGGAGCACGTTCACTAAACATTCATGCTCTCCTTCTTGCCCTCCTACTTATATTCAAAGAGCAGAATAGAAAAACATAAATCAAAGTCACAGAACATATTTCTTCTCCAATTCTGAAGCTGACATATCTCTATGCTGGAATCATAACCCCCCACAATACAAATAAAAAGCATGGCCCAGCAATCACCACATAAAAAAATAATTACAGGCAGCACAGTAATTTACACTTATCTAAAGCCTCTCACCCAAGGATCTCAAAGCAATTTATACACAATACAGATGGGGCTGATATAAGAACAGCAATGGCAGGGGGCTGTTTGGGAATCAAGGGATGTTCTATACTGTGCAGCTCTCTGCTATCTAGAAATTTACATTAGCCAATTATTCTAGCAGCAGTTGGAACCAAGCTACAGACTTCTGTCCAAAGTTTTGGAACAGCCTAGGTCGATATTGAAAGGCAAGGTCTGAGCTTCAATCAATGAGTTGAAGAAATTAAGAAAGGACTTGATCCAACATTGCCCATCAGATGTCATCCCCAGCTTCATGAGGTGCTCATCCAAAGAGCCTCCAGGAATAACGTGTTCTTTTTGACAGTCCAGACACTGTCAATAGCACAGGGCCACAGAGTTACAAACTCTGTTACATTAACCATAGGTATAAAACTGCTTTTAGTTTCCTAATTCCCAAACTGTAACTCTGAGGCATTGGGTAAAAGTTTTGGGAACTGCACTAATTTGTATTTCAGAACTTCACATTGGTAATCTATTTACATTTTGAAGGCAGTTTTCATGTGAAAAAGATATATTGGCTCTCTCCATATTATAGGAGAGGAGTTTAGCATTTTTTTTCCTCAGCCTTTGAAGTGCATGCACACAAAACTGTATAAATTATTTACTTTGTAGGATCCCCAAATGGTAAGTTTGGGGGAAAAAAAACAAGATCTGTTTCTTCAGTGTGAGCTGCAGGTGTCATCAATAGTAGACTCCAGTTTCAGGCCTGGGTGGCAGCCACACCAACTCTCAGCAGGGAGTCAGAGATTGCCAGGCAAGAACACAGAGACAAGTGAGTGGGTGGGTTTCTTCCCTTTGCTCACAATCCCTGGTAGCTGATCCACACAAGACTTATGAATTACTGAAGAATTATTCATAACAGGATGTTGGAGGGAGTGGATCACACTGGATTTTTTTCCTTGTTCCTCTGCTTTTTTTGAGGGGGATGAGTGGCAATAAGATGATTGATTTAATTAGTATACGGCCCTCAGAAATTGTTAGTATTCAGTGTTACCCATTAAGAGACAGATACCAAAGGAAAAAAAAAAAACATTAATAAAAAGCAAATCTCATAATGAGACTGGTTTGAGCTACATTCTGACACTAAAACCCAAATACACAAGGGTCATTTATCGTTCAGTTCTCTGCTTCAGTCTGGGGCTCACATCTTCAAGAGGCAAAAAACCATTTCACTTAGCAGCAGAGAAGCCATGCCTATGTACACTGCCTGCGAGTCTCACCCAGTGCTTATTTGTTTCACCCATCCTAATTCCTTGACAAAGAGCTGCCAAGGTCTGGGTCTGGAAATGCATTACCCAAGTGTCACTGGCAGCAAACTCTCTCTCTCCCCTCATTTCCAAAGCATCCAGTGCATAAAAGACTGGGTTGTGGAAAGTGAACAGAGGCAAAAGCAAAAAAACATTGGACTGAAGGAGTAAGATTCTGCAGTAAATTCTGGCAAAAACAAGCTCTGTGGTCACCTGTACTGCATACAGGAGTTAATTCCACAGTTCATTCTTGAGTTCATATATTTATGAAAATGATTTATTACATGGAGCTGTAGCTATAAGAAAGTGTATTAGATAACCCTACAAATCTTTGTCCATAGTTTCTCTGCTCTCTTGGCAGGCAGCTATTACAAGAAGTTGGTCTGGAAACAGCAAGGATTTTGATTATCAGCACAGTAGGTTTTGCACCAAGTTTGCAATTTAATACAGAATCACTACAGAGACCTGATAACACGAGTGTGCATTTGCCATTTGCTTTGCTATGATGTTTCTAATCATCATACACCGGTCCGGAAAGACTTTCTAGGGGCACTGCTATAGCAGATGACCAAATAACAAAGTCCATTTCATAAACTGATAGATTGCTTTGTTCTGACATTTCATCTCATGTAGTTTTATTTCTAGTTACAGAAACTTTCAGTCAGTGGATTGAAATGCCAGACACACTCCTGATGGAAGTGTCTTTTATACTCAGGATATTAAAGCACTGAAAAGGAAGGAAAAAGAGAAGGTCCAAATGATATCTTGCAGCCAAGAGGGAAATTTATTGTATTTGTTTTCTCCAAGAGAAAAGATATTTTTGGAGAAGCTGAATTCTTCAAAGCTTCCCATGCTGAGTCTTGGCAGCCTCCAAAACATCAGGAGTCCTGAGAAGGAACAAACATCACAATGCCAACAATACCCACTGAGGTACAATCAATAATGAATTTGGAGTATAAATGGTTGTATGAAAAGTGGTCTTCTGCAACCAACTTCATGTTGTCTTGCCAATACAATACAAGCTCAGCCATGCTGTTGGAATAAAAGTCTGTATCTCACTTGATTTGCTTCCAAAGGAACTCTAACAGTACGGAACAGTGGGAGACTACACAACAAATTTCACACTAAATGGATTAAAATTATAAAACCAATAGATCTTAAAACATAAATCTATATGTAAGTATCTGTCCTACTGCAGTGCTACTGCACAGTTTG